GAAGGGGCGTACAATTATAGGATTAGTAGACAAATCAATTAAAATAAAGGCATTACGTAACAATAGGTGAAATTTGATAACACAGAATTTCACGTTGTAAAACAGAAGTGATTTAGAATGACAAGTGGAACAAGTGAAATAATACCTGGGACAGTCCAAAATGAGAATAGTAATATTAAGAACTGACACTATAAAGGAAGAGTACACAAGCTGAAGAAACAAATCGACAAAATTCGATAAAGCCAAAATATGATTATGAATTGCCATACTTTAGCATAGAGAGATTAAAACCATAATAGTTGGAGCGGTTGAAAGAACTTTTTGTGTATACAAAAGTCTAGCTTTTCTGTTTCGATAGCCAAGGCTTTAGCAGTACAGATCAGTCGGGTAGGTAGCAATTTCAGTAAATTACTTTTTGTCTTGTAGATGACTTTAAAGACGGAGGCTATATAGATAGGGTGATCATTATTGTATTATTATTATTGTATCCTTTAGTTCCTAGAGGAACATAGGGCTTCAGCTGCGCACCTCCATTGACTTCGGATTTCTGACAACTTTTTCAACCTGCTCCAGGTCTGTCCACATGCTTTCATCTCCTCCTCGCATGACCTCCTCCAAGTCACCCTTGCACTGACGACCAACTCGCCGCCTCCCTTTCAGGTTCCACTCGAGCAATGGCTTGTCTAGTGATGTCACCTGATGGTTTCCTCAGAGTATGGCCAGGCAATCCATCTCCATTTCTTCCTGCCTATTTGTCTCACAATCGGTTTCTGATTGGTTGGCTCATTCCCAGAGATCCCACCCTGCTGCTGATCTTTTCTGGTTGGCCATCTGATCTTGAGTATTGAGCGGAGACAGTTGTTAATGAAGGTTTGAAGTTTGTTTGAGATGCTCTTTATGACTCGCCAAGTCTCTGATCCGTATAGTAGCACTGACTTCACATTGGAGTTGAAAATGTGAAGTCAGTGCTACTATACGGATCAGATCATTATTGACCAGATGCTAAATGATCATGCTTCTTATTGTTCCACTTTCACCTCTTCGTAACCATGTAGGATAGTGTTCTTGCACCCTGATGGACAAAACGCGAGTCGAACGACTGATATAGCTAGCTCCTCATGAACAGGTGAATTGATAAACACACATAGATTTGGTCAACAGCTGGATCTTGTCCTTGATGTTATTGAACAGTAATGGTAGACTGATAAAGGCTATTCTCAGAGATGGAGCAGGGAATGTTCTTTTCAGAAACTGTGAGATCCTTTTTTTGACTACACCTCGATTCCATACAGTACTTTTCGGTAGAAGTATGGAATTTTCAACATGTGATATCGGTAGCCCAAATTTTGCAGGCCGACCATAGATATCAGGTGTGCGTTGTCAGGGGATCGAACCCCAAACCATGTACATGGTAGGCGAGAGTCCTAACCACTGTGCCACGGAAGCTAAGTCACTTTTGAATTCCAAGCTCATGTACAATATTTTCTTGGTTGCAGATGATAAGTAACATTTCATAGGATTTGACTTTGTATTCTTGTCTATAAAACGTGATGGAAATTCATTTTCTCTTAGAATCTTTTCTCAAAAGGCTTAACTCATACTCCACAGTATCAAGGCTACATATGTGCCGAATGTCAGTAGCAAGTGACCGGACCAGGTTTTACTTTCGACGAACGAGTACCCAGCTGTAGAAATTTGTCAGTTAACCATTCTATAACAGATTTAGATAAGTCGATCGCTTCAAAGTTCCATCGGTCCTCCTTGATAAGTTCACATCGAGGAAATGAATATTAGACTCGTTGTCTATTTCGAATGTGTAATTTTGTCGCTGGATGGCAACCATTAAATGCATCTTTTATATTACTCAAATTATAATCACTATTACCATACATGTGACATTGAAGCGAAGTCTGTTTTAGAGGAAATGTCCACAAAAACAAACTGAATTATATTTACTTTCGAGAAGGAATTTATAAACTCAATCAAATACCTGAAGTTTTCTTTCAAAGACAGCTTTACCTAATCTGAGGAGCAACCGACGCCAACAGCACACAAAATAAACTGTGTACAGACATTTACAATTATTGGTTTTGTAAGGATTTTCTTTGATTGGATTGAGGATTTCATCATGAGCTGATATCAGTTAGAGAACCACTGGAAAACCTGGGAGTACTGGGCAGCCAACTTCCTCGTCCTAGTTTGTGACTCTTCAGCAGTATGCGCCCACAACCAGGGTTCTAACGTACAACCCCCTGGCTACAAGGCCAGCCAGCTCTTAGACCATTCACCAGACACTGGGACCCTATCCAATAACAAGCCCATGAATTCCAACTTATGCCAATTCACGACATGGCGCGACCATTTCACAAAGTCTTCTTCGATAAGTTGCTTCCTCAACTTCAACCTGCAGTAGCCTTATAGTCACGGTTTCCCAACGTTTAGTACTGACATATTATCCAATGGTTCTCTAATTGATGTCAGCTCATGACGGAATCCTTTGACCAATCAAACAAAATTCCTACAAAACCAATACTTGAGAATGATAGTTAATTTCAATTTATATGACAACTAAAATATGCAATAGGACGGCAAACTTGTAAATCGGGGTTAGAAGAGTATAAACAGAAGTTCGTTGAGTCGAATCCATTTGCCTACATCGGTGATGCATATGAGTAAATCGCTACGTGATATTTAGATAACCTCAAAAAAGTAGTTGGCAATAGTGAGGACTAACTGTTTAGACTATTGCTTTTAAACTACTTATTTTAATTAGTAGTAGTACGAAAGCGTAGTATTTATTCTATCTTTTGTAGATCATACGTTGTGTTCTTACTTTAATTTATAATTTCCGATCTGCATTTAATAAAAATTTCACTTTCTTGAGTCGTTTTTACCTGTCTTGATTCAACCAACACCCCTTATCTCTATATGTAGATGGTTTTTGCCTGTTTTCAAACTCAACAAATATGTCTACCTGTTGGGGATAAAGCACGAAAGAAGCCGTTCAGTACTCCCTGGTTTTCGATGGTCATCCAACTTACGTCGCTCTGTGATATGACTTGAAGTGTGCGATCACAACACTATGCTAAGCATCATTGACACCAACCTACACTTCTGACTTTATTACTTAATTTCACAAGTCCCTAGTCATTCAGCCATGTCTGTTCCAGGTAACTGATATATCCGCAAAATCACTAGGGCCTTGACTTTATAATTGATCATCACGTGAATTATTTTTCATGTGAAACTGCACTATGCTTCACCTTGGGTTGATGTTGAAACTTTCAAGAATAGACTAACCCAATCAAAAATGACTGTTGCACAGATTATAATTACCCGTAAAGTAATTAAAGTATAACTGCCACCCCATCTCCCATCGGACTTGACTGCACACACCGACTGGCTGTGTTCAATCTAGAGTTCAACAGTCCCTTTGCAGGGATTTGATTCCTCTCAAGTTAACCAGCATAATGTTATCATTCAGAGGACCTCGAAGGGCACGACAGCTAGTTAGTCCTTGTTTGTGTCTCTTCAACAGAACGCTGCAGTAACCCAGCTAGGGTATAAGAATAGAACTTGTACACTGTGGTAGAGAATAATCCTATTGTGGGTAAAATGTATCTTCAGAAAGTCTCACAGTGTTATACAGTAATATATACTGATGACCACGTTTCAAGTACAATTTATCACTAATGCTCATATCAATATTAAGACACTACCCATACAATTTTCTAACTTCGTTTATACAATTCCATTATTCTCCATCGCTGGACTTGATTAGTAGTAGTATTTTCCATATTTCTGGTATCAGCGATGAATCATTGACATTGCACGTGTTGTGTTGGGTGTAGACGCGATGAACCAGCAATCAGCCACCTTACTCTCCACATACCTTTATCACATTTTAGAATTTTGACTCTGTCCCACAAACCACATTGAATGTGTTGTTGTGTGTTAGTGCGTGCAGTGCAATTGCTTAGCTTTTTGCTAATTTACTTATCTTTGCGTGTGGGGACAATCATTCTAACAACGTATTTTGTAAATTATATTATTTTGTCTAATTGGGTCCACCTACAATGTCTTTTAACCTACACAGCTAGTCCCTGAGTGAGTTTGTAGCTTTAAATGCCACTCTAATTCCTGAATTGGTAAGAATTCCACGTATGGTCTCAGGTGTTCCCTCCTTATATGGTAAAACCACTGTAGATGCCATATATTCTCTGTTATCATAATTAGCTTCCCCATGCCAGGGATCGAATCTAAGACTCTTAGGTCACTAGGCGAGCCTGCTGAAAATTTACTCACGAAGACAAACCCTAGTTGACCCTGAATTCTAGCTTCTGTCAATGTGAGACGTATGGTGCTATCTTCAGACAATGCTGCCAGTCAACACTGCGCTCATGCCCAACTTGATAAGACCTACATATTATGACTTTCCAATAGATCCCTTGGCGCTCTATCTTGCAGTCAGTCACTTGTGGGTACCAGTATTTATACTATTCGTTGACGGATGCATTTTAAGCAGCGATGATTAACACTCGGTAAGCAATGGAAGCACGAAAATAACTGCTTACTTTCTAATCGATTATTTCAGTTAAAATTCTAATAAATCATAAATAAGATAAGCCATTTATAATTTTCTTCTACACATTGTATAAATACGAATTATATTAAATATTCCCATAGTAAAATTTAGAACAACACATTTAAGCGAACAATATTGTTTTCAATTAGATCTCATCAGGCTTAACTCTAATATATATAAGTTTACAAATAAAAATTCAAATATAAACCAACCATGGCGTTTTTCTATAGGATAATACGATGGTGGATATAAATTGTGCAGTTAGTCATAATAGTAGTAATGATAATATTAATAATAGTGATAATACGAATTAATAAATAGGAATTAAACATTACACCTTATACAAAATCTACTACCTACTAATATGTCAATTTCAATTTTTTTTTTTGTCTAAATCCAAAAACCTCTATTTCAGATCCGGTTTTCTTCCCAGCCATTATCACATCAGCCTGTTATGTATGCTTATGCGTATATGGATACTTTATATCGTTTAATCGAAGTGTAACATTTTTTCTCATAGTAAGTATGATTCAATCATTTTGATTACTTTAATAGTAGCTTTTATATCAAAATATTAAATGAATTAAAACAGTGTGAATGAAGACTTCGATGTCCATGTTTAATGAGATATGTCTAGCAGTTGAATCCAGTAGGTGTGCTTCGTCATCTGCATGTGCCTGGCTAGCAGTCTTGTTGACTAAGAGTATTATTATTAATTAAACCTTTAATTCATAGAGGAACATAGGGCTTCAGCTGCACGTCTCCATTGCCTTCGGTTTTCTGCCTACTTTTTCACCCCGCTCCAAGTCTGTCCACATGCTTTCATCTCCTCTTCACATGACCTCCTCCAAGTCACCCTTGCACTAACGACCAACTCACCGCTTCCCTTTCAGGTTCCACTCGAGCAATCGCTTGTCTAGTGATGTCATTTGATGGTTTCCTCAGAGTATGGCCAGGCAATCCATCTCCATTTCTTCCTGCATATTTGTTTCACAATCGGTTCCTGATTGGTCGGCTCATTCCCAGAGATCCCTGTTGCTGATCTTTTCTGGTTGGCCATCTGATCTTGAGTACTGAGTGAAAACAACTGTTGATGAAGGTCTGAAGTTTGTTTGAGATGCTCTTTATGACGCGCTGGCCAAGTCTCTCATCCTTATAGTGAGTAGCACTGACTGACTTCACATTGGAGTTGAAAATCTGGATCCTATTTTTAATTCTGAGTGCTGTTGACCTCCAGACAGACTTGAGAGTAATGAAAGCTGGTCTTGCTTTTCCGAGTCTGGCCTTGATATCCTCATCAGTTCCATCCGCCTGTAGTTGAAAGGATGCTTCCCGGGTAGGTGAAGGAGGTTGTTTCTATCAGGTTCCCCCATTTATGCTGGCTGATTGTTGTCTGTTGTTGTTGTTGCTGTTGGTGTTGGTCAGGAATCTTCATCACCTCTGTTTTATCAATTTTCAGCTGCAGTGCTATCTTTGATGCTTCTTCTGCCAACTTGTTGCTTTTCACTTGCATATCTTCCAGTTTGTGTAAAATCAGACATGTATGACATCGGCAAAGTCCAGATCCTCCAAGTCTCTTTTTGTGTGAGTCCATTTTATGCCTGTTCCCTCGTTGGTTGCCGTTGTCTGTCGCATTATCCAATCTACTGCAATCAGGAAGATCATTGGCGATAGTAGACAGCCAGCTTGTCGCACTCCCGTCCTCACTTCGAAGGCTTCCTTAGGTTTCTCGTTGTGGATTACTTGGCATGCAGTATTGTCGTATAACTGTTGAATGAGATGTATAATTGTCGATGAGACCCCGTAGTAGCGAAGTAGTTTCCAAATGACCTCTCGATCGACGCTGTCTGTCGAAGGCCTTTTCAAAGTCGATGAAGTTGAGTGAGGTGGAGAGGTGACGTCCATTCCAAGCTTTGTTCAGTGATGATCCGTAGTGTGGCGATTTGACTAAGAGTATGAGGGTGATGTTGTCCCCTTAGGTGTAGACTCTGAAAAAATACAGAAATCTGGAAGTATTTGATGTGTGGTTCACTTCCGCCAAATGTAGGATAGATGATGATACAAGAGTGAACGACACTCACTGCAAACGTGAAAATAGGCGATGGAGTTATAGAACTTGTTGACTAGTACAATGTTTCAAGAAGCTGAGTCATCTCTGATGAAGTCCCAGCACGGATTCAAAAAGCTCGTGTGGGACATTCCAACTTATATAATCTCTGATGCAAACATGACATCCGATTATCGATTGAAGGACTTGTGTAATGCGTGGCAGTTCTCACCGTCCTCCTTTATCTTGGAGAGTGATGGTCATTAGAAATCCTTGCTGTCTATGACCACCGATGTCTGATTTCTTTCTCCCTTGTTAAGTGGTATAATGTGATGAAATTATACTGCGTTTGAGTGTATACTTGTAATGACAGAAGAAATGGGCCTGGAAACAGATCGTTTGTTTTTGAATATCAACAGATATTCATAGATTTTTATGCACATTATTATTCGGTACTGTTACCAGAGAAGCAACGTCCTTTGATTCGTCTTTTCATGCTGAAGGTTATTTTGTACCGCTTGTGACCGTAGCTTACAAAGTTATCCATATTTCTGCGGATCGTAGTTGCACACACTAAGTCGGCTGTGATTGGTTGTTGAGTTCCTCAAGGTTAGGCATCGTTACTGTTTTATCTCGTGACCCTGATTCGGGTCATGTAAATACTGACATAAATTGGTGTCTAAAACTTTGGTTAGCAGACAGCTCTCATCACACAGTGTTAGGTATGGCAAGTTAGTCAGTCGATGATAATCTGCAGGTGAATCGATTAAGCCGACTAGGAAATGCGTTTAGCACCCCGAGCCAACGACAGCCTCAACAAGCAGTGTTAGCCGACTGCTTAGGTGTACCATGGATGTGCAATTCCAATTTGACAGCACTCTTTATCGCCAAATAGATGATGTAGCTATGGGCAGTCCACTTAGCCTTGTTTTAGCAGATATATTCATGTCCAACCTTGAAAGAACAAAGTTGAAGCATACAATCGACGAAACAACTTCCTACTGTCGATATGTTGATGGTACATTTATAATGTGCAGCAATGAAAGTCAAGCTTCACACTTACTCAGACTACTCAATGATGCACACACCAAGATTGAGTTCACTGATGAACATAAAAGTTAGGGAAAGTTCCACTTTCTCGACATTGCCATTCAACGCCTAGAAAACAGCAGTCTTCAGAAGTCAAGCCTCCATGGAAAGGACAACACCTACATTTTAATAGCTTTTGTCCAAATAGCTTTAAACGCGGACTAGTCAAGACTGTGTACTATAGAGCGTGGGGAATATGCTTTATAGAGAAATTAGAGGAAGAATTTGGAGTTTCTTGAAAAGATGTTGAAGAGCAATGGGTACACTCAAAGGTTCATCAACAAGTATGGAAGATCGGAAGTCACAAATGTAAAACAAATCACAGTGGGTGAAAAGCCAATCTATATTCAACTTGATTGTAAAGGTGAAAACATTGCACCAATGATCAACAGAAGGCTGAGCGCACCATTAACCACAACCTCTCCTGCAGCCAAGCTCTTCCCCGTCTATCGAACAACTTGCTCTTCGGTGCAATCAAAAATCGATAGATATGTTTCTCATGCTAACTCCAACTGTATACTCAAATTTACATGTATCTGCGAAAGCAGATACATTGGGAGGACAATTTTCTGAACATTTACCAAAAAGCTTACGTCTAAATGGAACAAATGCTTTAAACAGTGCCATCGCCAGGCATCTCCTTGACACGCATCATGATGTGGACGTCGCAAGACCGTTCAAAATATCAGTATGCAAAAGAGCTCAATTCTCCTCCAGTTTGCTGAAGCCATTTCCTTCAAGCGCCTGAAATCTGATTAATCCGCCCAGAAAGAAGCGATTATCAGTCTTTCTTCGCCCTTCCTAGTAAGTGGATATTTTTCATCTCTCTTTCATCTGAATGTGAAATGCTGAAAAGTTTCCATTGTGTATGATTATTATTATTATTCGGAATAGTGTTTAATATTACATATATATGTGGATATATTATTACTGTATGCATATATTGATCGACTGATTTTTGTTTAAAATGAACTCTGTGTAAGTAAGTATGTTAAAATTGTTTTTGTAGATATATTTAATAATGTCTTCGGCCTGTAAGCAGCTGAGCTGATGAGAAAGCAACGAAATAAAAGATAGTATCACTTTATTCTGCAAAAACCGCTGTAGTTCTTGCCTTGTTCAAATTCATTAAGGGGAACAAATGCATAAAAAGATTAGGTTGCAGAATTGTTTGTGGTCAAACCATAGACTGGGACTAACTCAGGAAATCTTTGACAGTTAGTCTGAGCCCTGTAGGAAGGTGTAGGTTGCCTTAATGGAGCTCTCAAGGCGCTAATTCCTTTGAATCTATTTTATTTCACTCTTTTTTCTACCTTAGTGTGCCACATATATAGTGTGGTTACCTGAACTTCTGCACTAAAGTCTACATTTAAAATCACTCACTCATTCCTAGTGATACCTTAACCTATCGATCATAGCTTCAAATGTCAAAGATTTATAACCTAGGCAACCGGTTATCTCCAGGTATGCTTTCAAGAGGTCTCTACACTAAAGTTGGTCAAACAGATAAACGGGAAATCACAAACATAGATTAAAACTATTTAGAAAACAGTTAATTCACCACTGGCTATCGTATTGAGAATGTTCAAAAAGCCCATTTACGATGAGATCATCCCCCCTGAGACAGTGAAAGGTCAAAAGACTGCCATTCATCCATGCTTATGAATACACTTAACTATCTACAAAATCCTCGAGTGGAACCTGAAAGGGAAGCGGCGAGTGGGTCGTCAATGCGATGGTGACATGGAGGAGATTGTGTGAAGAGATTTTGAAACAATATGGACTAAGATGGATGCAGGTGAAAAGTACAGCAGAATGAAGACAGAAACAAGTGGAGACGTGCAGTTGAAGCCCTATGTTCCACTAGGAACCCAAGGGAAGAATAATAATAATCTACAAAGTCTCTGCAACGCTTTTTCCAGAATACCATCAACAAACGTGATTCGTATGTTTTAAATCAACTGGAAATCTGGCTTCAGAGGAGTTAACGAAATGAAGTCTTTTTTGCTTGCTTTTTCATTCCTTTTCAGAGGTGGCTTCATGAAGGATAGACATGAGGTGGCATCACACTGAAATCTAGAAAACTACCAGATGGCGGAGATTCCTCTACTTTGATGTCTTCACCGATTCACTAGCTATGATCTCGTGAATAATCTCAATCCAGAACAGAGAGATCATGTGGTTACCACTTTGTCACTCAGCTTCCCACTTCTCTGGCTTCTTTCTGTTTGTGAATTAGAGTAACCTGTATTATAATTCCTGTAATAACTGGGTGTTATCATATATTAATTGAATGAGCAAGTTACTGTTTATTGTTGAAGCGTGTTGTCTGAAGAGACCGCTAGTTTGAGTGCTTTCAAATCCCATGGTTACACAACAAACCATCATACCTCCAAGACTCTGGTAATCTCGCCAGGTTAGACAGCTAGATTTTAGGAATATGTGACAAAGTTTTGACTTATTCCTACTGTAGGATATTCTCAACAAAAACATTGTTTGGTTGCCTGAGTTTTATTCATTAACCTTACGATTTATATCTGAACATTAAGAGCTCACAACTGAGGTAATATCTTGTATGCGCATAGTCGGATATATATATCAGGTTCTGTAATATTCATTAGTTTGGTGAGGGAAATAGGTCAATGGTGTGAATACATGAAATAATAATAGTAGTAGTATAAAATGCAATTAAAATATTAAATAAATAAATGTTTATCTCTCTATGGCCAAGGCAGAATTAGGGATTGTACATACTTTCTTTGTACACAAAGGTCTGGCTTAAAGTCATGAATTGCCAAGGCCTCAGCTGTCTTTAGAAGTCTGTAACGAAGAAAACGCGGGAAGTAAGCATGAATTCTATATATGATCTTGAAATCCCGGTCAGGGTTGACAGAGTGGCAGAAGTCAATCAGGTGTTCCAGAATAGAGCTTCGCACACACTTCCTTTCTCCCTTGTGAAACTATGCTGAAATATGTTCTCGTATCCGTGAAGAAAGCGTCCTCTGACTACGGCCAATGTACCTTGCTCCACAAGAGCAGATGAACTGATAGATGCACATAGAGGAGGCCAGATGGGGGGGGACTTATCTTTTACAGAGGTAGAGAACAATTCCCTGCTTGTGAACGTCATATGTAATCTAGCTGTAGGGAACGTCTTACTAACTGATTTAGAGAGACGATTTTTGAGCATATCTGAAACTTGATTACCTTTGAATTCCAACTTCATGAACAAGGTTTTCTTTGGAACTGAAACGGTGACCAGTTTCGACTGCTTATCTTTCATGTTACTGTCAATAAATCGGTTAGGGTAGCCGTTTTCTGTGAGTGTGACTTTCAAGAAGTCAAGTTCTGAGTCAACGCAATCAGAACTACAAATTCTCCTTATCCTAAAGCAGAGCGAATGAATTAGGTTCTTTTTCCTGGAGATAGGCACCCAACTGTAAAAATTAGTTATTTGTTCGTTCCATGTACGTTTCCAGTGGATATAATTTCTTTATAAAACCATATACATATACGATTGTACAGCTTGATAATAAATTCGTTGTTGAAAATAGTCTCTTCACTGAATATTGTGTTCTTCGTGCTACAATAGGGATTATCAAATTATATTCATTAGTTACCTAACTGAAATTGGTGTTAAGCATTTTCACCGGTCTGAAATCTAGTGACAATGAAGATGACTCTTGTTCATGAGCAACGATGTGAATGTTACTTTAAATGACTAACATCACAGGAATAAATTGGTGTGCAGGAAATGGCTGAAGAGAATCCCTAGGAAGTCATCAGAATAGGGTTTCAGTCTCACTAAGCCTTACCACTCCCCTGCGGAGCACAAACGCTTCAGTGATGACATCTGGGAGTGCAGTAATAGGGGAAAAAAGTTTGAATCTTTAAGAGGACACCAATTTCCTCTATTAAAATGTAGATTTTCCTTAGAAACGTAAAACAATCCGAGATATAGGTCTAGGCGTTCCTCGCGGTCGTCTCCAGCGGAGTAACATTTATTTTTTATTTATTTTATTTTTGGTAACAGCTTGATTCCACACTGTATTTTTGGTACAAATATGGAATTTTCAGCATAGATATCGGTAGCCCAAATTTCTCAGGCCGACCATAGATATCTGGTGTGCGCCGGTTTGGGCTCGAACCCCGGACCATGTGCATGGTCGTCGAGAATCCTAACCACTGTGCCACCGACGCACAGTGGTTAGTAAGTCGGCTATCTTGGTGACCATATATAGCAAGACTGACTGACAGAAATCTGTCTCCTGTGAGATCAAGTTATATCCCTGCAATTTCAGTGTCAAAATTCTATCTTTACATGTTTTGACATTTTGGTAAACGTCTTGAAAATCATACTTTGATTGTCATTGGTTTGATTTAAAAAGTGAAGATTCTACCAGAATTTGTAGGCTCCATACCAAGATTTGGGAAAATTAAGAGAGCTTACTTACAAATGAATCTTTCAAATGTTTTTTTTAACCTCATCTATGTTATCCACGAAATATATTGATCAATATTATTTTTATTATTGGAGTTCACCAAATTCAAACAATATTATTTTCTTGTTTTAAATTTACAGTATGAAGTCCTGTTCTCAGTTTGTGTCATTGTACACTTCTCTATGTTAGTTGCATTTTTGAGGGATTCAACTTCTGTGAGTTGTTGGATTAAAATATATACATACATATTTTTATTGATTTTGATATTTTGGGTTGCATTATAACTTGTCTATTTTGAGTAAGGTGTCATTTTAAAATCCCCTGGGCTATTATTATCATTTTAATATATGTGTAAAACTTGGCCACTGTGGTAGTAAGCAATTCCATATTAGTTTGTTTATTAGATGCATCACACAGGGAGTGAAACAGTATTCATTATTTATTGGATGACACAGTTTCAAACAAAATTGATTACTGTTCATAATCATATCAATTGTAATCACACGAATTTGAAACTTGATATATTCATGGATAGGTGGTAAAACATAGCGATTGAAACGTTCACCCCCACCCCAAAAGTATGGTGGAGGTATCTAGGTGACAAATTCACTGTACTTAGAACACAAGATATAAATACATTTTTCAAACATATTAACTAAAAGATAGAAGCAATGCAATCCACTTGTGAATTGAAAAGTCAGGAAGAGAAGCTTCCAATGTTAGATTGCAACGTAAAAAGAAAAGAAGATGGGAAGCTAAACAGTAGTGTTTACAGAAAACCCACATATTCAAACAGATATTTGAACTTCTGATCATCCCACCCTATGTCAGTAAAAATAGGATTAGTGAAATGTTTCAGCGATAGAGCACAAAAACTAAGTAGTACCAAGGAAAATCTAAGACAGGAAGTGATACATATAAAAGAAGCCTTGAAACTTAATTATTACCCTGATAAATTAGTCAGGAAATATGTAAGGAATTGTAAAAATAAAATAAATAATAACAGTAGCGATAGTGATGATAATAATAATAATAGTAATATTGATGACAACATGCATGTCAAACATACACAGGATAGTGACAAAACCAACAATGAGAATTATACATCATCAGTAGTAATTCTATACAAGGAAGGAACCTCGGAAACCACCTTGCGCAGAATTCTTAAGAAGGCAGGAATAAAAGTGACTGGCATTCAAACCCACAAACTCAATTAGAAACAACCTTTGTCGATTAAAGCATCAATCTTGTGCAGCCTCTGAAACAAAACAATTTAGTTTATCTAATACACTGCCTGCAATGATTGTCAGGTCGAATACACAGGTCAAAGTGGTAGAATAGGTGCAGTCAGTCAGACTAGCTGTGAGCTAAAACCTAGCATCAAAATCTAGATTAGTTGACTCAAATAAGATAAGAAATCTAGAGAATAGTTCAGCTAAAACACTACACCACATGCAATTACACACAACCATACAATAGAATGGATGGGATAGGATGACAGTTTTAAAATCTAATGTGACAGTGTGAATGGAGAAAGAGATTGATAACAGAAGCTTTGTTTATCAAATCAACTGCAAATACATGTAAAAGGAATGATTCAACACCTGTGTAGCCAGTCATCTGGAAAATTCTATTACCCCTACACCGACAAATAGAAGAGAATAAAGAAACTATTAAACTCAAGTTTCGAAGTCGTGTGATAATAACTGATGATATGATTATGAACAGTAATAAATTCTGTTCGAAACTTCGTTATCCAGTAAATAATAATACTGTTTCACTGAGTGTGGGATAAATCTAATAAACAAACTAATATGGTATTATTGTCGCCATCATTCAATCCTCGCATTCTGAATGTAAGTCTCGTTGTAACATAATGAATCTTACAGGATAGTTTGTTATTCAACACCAACCGGTCATTGTTCTACCTGTTTTTTTTCATCGGTTTGGTCTTTTCTTGTACTGCTTAGTGCTACTGCTCGGTCTCTTAGACCCTTAACTAAGCCTGCCTTAACAGTTAATGGATGAGGTGATGAATTAAAATTTAAATATTTATTTGCAGAATGCGTTGGCTTTTTATAAACACTAGTGTGAAGTCTACCTTCTTCTATTCGTTTTATTTTGCAATGTAACATCATAGCTAATTCTCCTTGTTCATTTTCCGATTCAAATGTGAATTTTATTCCCTTTAATAGAGAGTTTATGCATGTGTCAAGAAGCTAGAGATATGTTCTGCTTTTAACACTGTGTGTGAAAGTGTCATGCACATATCTCCACCACATTTTTGGAGTGGGATAAAATGTATTAGTAGCAATATTTTTCCAGCTGTCCATAAAGATATCTGCCAAGATAGGTGATATTGGTGATCTCGTTGCCACACCTGGTGTTTGTCTATATATTCTAATAGGTATTTAGACTTTAATTCATCTCGTCCGTTGTCTGTAAAAGCTGGCTTAGTTAAGTGTCCAACAAACCGAGTAGTAGCACTAAGTAGTACAAGAAAAGACCTAAATGATGAAATAAAACAGATAGAAGAATGGCTGTTTGGTGTCAAATAACTATCCTATAAAATTCATTAGGAATATCAAAAAAGGTCAAAAGCAAAATAAAAATAATGGTGAAATGAACCATAATGATAACATAACTAAGAAAGGATAAAAGGTACCTACAGTTGTAAAATATAAGGAGGGGACATCTGAGACCATACGTAGGATTCGTATCAATGCAAGAATTAGAGTGGCATTTAAATCTGCAAACTTACTCACTCACAGACAAGCTCTGTAGGCTAAAGGACCCTGTTGGTTGACCCAATTAAACAAAATAATATAATTTACAAAATACCTTGCAATGACTGTGAGTAAAACCAACTACATAGGTCAAACTACTAGATCGGGTGTAATCAAATTATCAGAACATACGAATTTAGCTAAGGTTAGAATGATTGATCCCACTGGCGAGGATAAGTAAATTTAGAAAAAAGCTCAGCACTACACTGCACTGCATGCAGTAACACACAACCACACATTCAATGTGGTTTGTGGGACAGAGTCAAGATTCTAAAATATGACATAGATAGGTGAAGAGAGAGATGGTTGATTACTGAATCCTTGTTCATCAAGTCTACACCCAACACAACACATGAAATAGGAATGACTCATCACTCATACCGGAAATATGGAAAATACTACTACCAATCAAATCAAGCGATGGAGAATAATGTTATTATATAAACGAAGTTAGAAAGTTGTGTGTGAGTAATGCCCTGATATGATTATGAGCGGTGACAATTTGTGCTCGACACCTTGTCATCAGTAAATATTACTTGTATACCAGGACTGTGAGACTTTATCAAAATAAATTTTACCCACAACAGAACTTCTAGATTAGTATTTCCGATGTTAAGAAGATCACATATTGTGATCTGAAAATGTTTCTTTTCTGAAAGAAACTGGACGAAATTCTTACGTCACACTGTGAGATTTGTAATGCAGCAATTTGATTTCAGTAGTGAAGATTTGTCAATACGCAAAAGCTAAAAATTCCTTTCCCGCATCATAATGTAAAATGAACTTTTATGTGGCAAATGACATTACTGATTATCTCAGTGTTCACCAAAGGGACAGACACACTATTTCCAACAAGTTTCACAGTCCAGGGCTTTGACAGATATCAAAACCAGCCTCTCCGATGGAGCTTGAACCGAAAGCTACTAGTTGAGAATGTGTAAAATTGACACGGAGCAGGTCACATGAGGAGGAAATGAAACTTGTGGGAGGTCATGGAGTCAGGTTTAGGTGGTGTATGAGGGACAAATGGAATAATATATCCCCCTCCTAAGGCCTTTTATTCCACTCTGAACACAACGAACCAGTGAAGCGTTAATAATAAACAATTCAGCTTTTGAAAATGTCCACTGTCTTTATCCAGGTTGTATTCGAACAACTATCTACAAAGGAATTCTCATTGAAGTCAAACACAAAGTTTCTTTAAACAACAACTCCGTATATTCACAACCATTTTTCTTTGGTGGCTTATATACTGTATTTTAGGATTGCCTAGATGCATGAAATAATGAGTCATATAGGTCTGTAGAACCTTACACGAGTTCCGCATCCCAGAGCTCTGTGCCTTATTTTAAGACATGAAAAACAAACAGCTGTTTCTTTCGCCTGAAACCACTTCTTTTCGACTAATAGCGCTAAGAATATAGGACATTCCTATGCTGTGTGGCTTCCTGCACGTATAACACGTGCGGGTTTCACAACAACTACAATATGAGCCAACTGCTTTGTGGAAAATATATAGTTGTAGTTTCTGTTTGTCGACTGCTTCTGCCTAACTATTCAAGCCTATCCAGAAATATACCCACACAAACTGACACAAACTGCATCAACCCTGTAAATGTCACTTCTTGGTAGATGATTAAAAACTTTTAGAGATAGTAGAGAAGAATGGCTGGCAGCGATCGCATGTAAATATGCTTTAAATGGCCTTGAAAGACAATAATTACACTGATAAGTTAAAACAGTCAATAACCAATAGGATTCTAAGGTCATGCGTGGGGGGTGGGCAATACAAACAGCACTGTACTGTGAAGATAAATTTAGTATTTTAGTAAAATTAGGTCTACTTAACAAATTTTTCCTATTTATTCATTTATTTTATTTATTTATCTATTTTATTTGTTTCTATTTATTTTATTTTTTGTTATTTGTCCGCCTTTGTTTCTATCATTCTACCATATGTAAAAACAGATCGTTAAACATGTGGAACGAGATTTAGAAAAGTTGGTTAATGCCTATGTGTCTTTATCCAGCATGAAACCGGACAGTTTATTCCTTGGTTACATTATGATCCATGTAAGTTTCATTCATTTTAATAAAAGTGTTTTTGTGTTTCCCAATGAATAAAAAACAAAACGATATTGTTGTTTTAACTGACGTTTCGCTATTTAATGCTGCGTTAATAGCTTTATCAAAGTATTATTAACCCGGAATTTACAAAATCTACTCAGCATATATATAACAAAGAATTAAGAGGTGAAAAAGTAGACTACTTAGATCAATTTAAAAGGACATATTGAAAGTCAAAATAACAATGAAGATCACGAAACCAAAATAACAAAGGTAACGGTACGTCTGTTATGATATCATCAAAACAAAGTTTACTAAATGATCATTGTTCATTAGTCTAGGGTCATTTTTCGTTGCCAATTTGGTCAAGATAACCAAACCAAGCGTAGATTGTTGGATTTTATCAGTGTATAAAATTATGAAAGTAGTGTGCATGTTTACATAGTGAAATTTGCTCATCACATTCGTGTTGATTCTGTCAGTTCATTGGGGAGGGAGTAGGGTGCTGTAACCAGGTCAGATTCTGCTTTAGTCCATCATTCCTATTCAGGCAAATCGGATTCTACTTGATATGAAGTGCTTCACAAAGAACGTCTAATATCAGAAGCAAACTTTTTCAAACTGTTAAAAGTCAACTTGGTTTAGACATATATATATATATAATATGTAAGTTTCATGCGAAAAATTTTGTTCAGTGTCCTTAACCAGGATTTAATAAAAACACACACAGATAGCGGTGTCAACCTACAAGCATTTCATTCCTGATTTAGACTTGTCGGTATGAATATTAAAATGTTTGCTGCTTCGCTGGGTTCAGCTAATATGGCGGATCTGTGTAAGTGAAAGTATGCGTCTAACTTGGTTAGATAATATTTGGACTTCAGGTTCTATAGGGAGTTTGATTTATTCCAGGATAGATTTCGTGACAAGAAAATGTGAATCAAAGAGTCCTCCAAGGTTAAGTTTGTAAGGATATGATTTGTTTCAAGTTTAATCACGGATTGGTGTCATTCTGGGGGACCACTAAAAACTAAGAGTACTCAGCAATTGTTGTTTTGACTTAATTTGGGCTATTCATTATAATAGAGGTTTTTTTTGTATTTCCCAATGAATGAAAAAACAAAAGGAGATTGTTTTTACTGACGTTTCGCTATTTAATGCTAATAGCTTTCTCAAAGTATTACTATTATAAAAAAACCTCTATTATAATGAATATCATATACCCAATGCCCAAATTTTTTCAAACCGTTAAATTTGGGCTAACTTAAACTTTAAGCACCATTTACTTACTACCAATCAGCGAATGACCTCGAATAGTCTAATGAGATTCGTGCACGTGAGTTGAAGGTTGTATTCCGCTTGATTCATGTCAAATGCCTGCTGCAATGAAGTTACGCTTACAGTTCGATGAGGATTAGGTTTTGCAATATTGCCTGGATGTGAGGTTACTTAGGAAGGAGAGGATTTGTTCATGTGAAGGTGTCGTGAGGTCGTGATAAACACCCATATGGACATTAGAAGGAAGAGAACACGAAATTCAACAGAGATATCTTTTCGGCATTTTCATTTTCAAAAGTAGCTGTACAATCGCATTTAAATACATAATTTTACATGGATACAATTCTTGTTTGATTCCACACAATTACGACGGTGAATAAAAGGTGATAATTATTTTCAACTAGATATGGATGGTTTTTACGAGAGGCTTAGAAACAAAATTACACAGGATTATAACGGATAACAAGTGTGTAAAAATGAACATGGAAACAAAATTTGAAATAATAATAATTTTCAACTTGAAAAGGAATTTAAGAGGTGTGTGAATATAGATTACAAGAGTCCAACAATAGCTAACCTCTACAAGTACCATGGACCTGGTTTGGTATGTTCTCTTTGCTTCCGCTTTCTTTTTCCTCTTTTTTCGTTCTGTCTTTTCCTTTTGAGTATTTTTTTCGTTCGCTGTGTGTGTCTGATCCTTACTCCCTCAGTCTTCATTCGATTCACCCCATTTCTGTTTTCAGTTATAAAAACAGTTTTCATTTCAAGTTTGTTTCCATGCTTCTCCTGTTCACATTTATAATGGGTTTAAAAACAATTAACTATTTTACAATTATATTCTAATCCTGTGCAATTTTTGTGTTTCTAAGGCTCTTGTAATCTATATTCGCACACCTCCTAAATTCCTTTTCAAGTTGAAAATTATTATTATTTCAAATTTTGTTTCCATGTTCATTTTTACACACTTTTTATCCGTTATAATCCTGTGTAATTTTGTTTCTAAGCCTCTCGTAAAAACCATCCATATCTAGTTGAAAATAATTATCACCTTTTATTCACCGTCGTAATTGTGTGGAATCAAACAAGAATTGTATCCATGTAAAATTATGTATTTAAATGCGATTGTACAGCTACTTTTGAAAATGAAATCGCTAAAAAGCTTCAGCAGGTCAATCGATGCATATGTCCATCGTTGTGCAATTGCCTTGAGACAGTAGAGTGGTTCCAGCACAGCAGGGACACTGACTCATGGAAAGTGGAAAGAATTACTTCGTTGTTAGGAGGAGAAGGTATCATATGGTATATGGACGAAACTATCTTATTGATGAAAAAATACAAACGTGGTCGTCAGCGAGCCAACAATTTTTGGGTGATCGGTTTTAATGACACATCTCCCTATAGAAATGATTCTTTGAGAGAATAGCAGACAGAAAGTCTACTGCCTACTGCCTACCTACTGTCACTCACCTAGTAAAACAGGGATCTATAGGGCATACGGAAGAATGGAGAGGCTATAACTAGCTGTCATCTCTTGGATATATTCATCACAGAGTGAACCATTCTAGCAATTTTGTAGATCCCATTACAGTGACACACAAGAATTCCACAGAAGGATTTTGGGGAAGATTGAAAAATGGGATTAGGGCTATAAATGAATCTCAAAAGGATGTCATTTAAAGTCATTTGGATGAATATATATGCAGAAGGTGGTGTAACTTTTCTATTGACACTCCTATGCTAAATTGGGAGATGTTTCTGTCACACGTTAGAGAAAGATACCCTGTGTAACAGTTCCATACAGATTTTATACTTTTTTTTCATAAATATACGTTTTCCATACCCAAAAATCCCTCTTTCATGTGATCAGTTCGTTGAAGGTCGCTCGTTGATTGGTAGTTAGTGATGCTCAAATTTTAACCTTGCTCTGCTTTGGAACTCTTTTGGTTACAAGGCAAGCTCATAGACCATTCAGCATCGGGTCCTACTCCCCTATTGGTCGACAAGCTTTACCTCATAACCAGTAGGTCCTGGATTCAATCCCCCAAGTTGCCACGAATGCCTGCTGATGAACAGTCTCAAACTAGGTCGAAACACCTGCTGGGTACTCTCCCTGATTTTCAACGTCATCACTGGATAACTGTTTCCTCCTGGCTTCGGAATCTTCAGCGCTGCGTGGCCATATCCCCTAAGAAGATTAATCCAAGGACCTTCAGTTGACGAGGTTTGCCTGTTTACCATTTAGTCACTAGGCCAATAGCACTCAAGGACCCACGAGTTTGAATTTTATCAGTTGGTGATATGCCGCTACAGGCCGTTGAGTTCCGCAACAGTAGCTGAGTGGCTGACAATCTGGGCTGTTAATTTGAAGACCTTGGGTTCGACCTCTGATGAAGTCATGTCTGTCTTGATAATACTACTTCTTCTGACCATTCAGAGTGAAATTCCAGATTATTTCTTCGCTGAGACTAAACACTTCAGTGTCTTGTTGAAGTGTAAAATTTCTGTATGTATTTATTTCACCTGAGCTAAATATTTCAATTTGTTCAGACTGGTTTAAGCCGGTCTAAGCCTTTTTAAACTTGTTTATATTCGCCTGCTATAAATAAAAACGGGTTTTTACTCATATTAGCCGCATTGCAGGTTATCATCACTTGGAAGACTATGAAAAGTCTAGCTCATTTTATAGTGACCAGATTTCCTCGCTGACCCGTACGGCGTCGATGTTAGCTATTAGCATCAAGCCGTCAGCTGAACAGCATATTAGTTAGCACTCAATCATTTGTGTAAAATTGCAGTTTTTCGTGATATAAAATGCTTTTTGATGACAGATCATGGTGACCGTTTATCTCTATTAGCTTATTAACCAAGGGGTTAGAATTTCACTATTATTATTATCCAATCAGGTTTCAACAGAAAATCTCCACTGCGCTCTTTCCTTGACAATCCCTTTTAGCTGACTCGCTTACAAACCTTCACTCTCAGACCTACGCCCAACTGATTGTTTCCCATTGGCGTCCACCTCGACAGCCTATTGCATGTGTCTATTCCATCGCCATCCCCTTCAGTATACTTGTTGGACGATAGTTTCTTGGTTGAAACCAGAAGAAGAATTCTATAAATGATGTCAGATTGGAATTTAGAAACTAATTTTAAAAGCCAATTCAACATAACCTGCATTTAATTCCTTTTTTTTTAAACATTTTCAGCTACAATGCTGTGGATTCAGAGATGAATATGACTTTTACGATTCAACCCACTTTGCTTATGAAGACGTTTATGATGGTGTTAAATATGAAAGTAAGTTCACCAGCACCCCCACCCCTACCCTCCCCCACACACACCACACCATCCCATTTCGTTGAATAATACAGTCTGCTTTATTGCGTGGAGGATTTCATCATGAGCTGACACCAGTTAGAGAACTACTAGAAATCCTGGGAGTTCTGGAAAGCTGTTTCGTCAAGCTGGTTTTTTTATCAGTACGCACCCACAGTCCTTTTTATTTTGTTTAAAAGTCTGGGCAAACTGTACATAACCATAACAAGAGGAGAGAAGACCAAGAAAGAGATTACGAAAGAGTAAAGGATAAAGTATATAAAGTAGATTGACATTCGAGTCAGTCCAGAGTCAACTAATGCATGTAAAATATATCCCGTCTACCATCTGATACACAAGAGGAATGACGATTATAAAGTCGAAGTTCTTTTCACGTTGCTAATTATAGCATTTAACTACTAATAAAACCACTTGTGAACATTCAGGAAACATCGTAATAGCCTTCAAACCATGTTATAGAGTCTTTACTTGCATCTGGCATGTCAAAAGGAACTGGACACTTCGAAATCAATACAAAATGCAATCAATGGGTAAATATATGGAAACGTAAACAGTTAATACGTAGTTGGCACAGTGGCCGACTGTTCTCCAGCCACACTTCCTGTAGTCCAAGGTCTGATCCCTGGCAGACTACGCACCCCTAGACCTTGCTAAGCCGGTAATAAGACGGGCAAAGAGAGAAGGTTGGGCGTGGGGCTAGCAACTCCACCCCACAAAAGCAATCACAACTGTTATGGAAACCTCGAAGCCCTAGTTTGAAGCCCTGTGATCCACTGGGATAGTCAAGGAATAAAATAGATAAACAGATAATAAACAGTTAGTGACTGGTACCTGTTGCAAAAAAGGTGGCTTGATGGTCAACATTGAAACGTTTAAAAGAATGGACTGTGAGTACGCGTCTCTGTGTGAACATCATCACCCATTTGGGATGCAGCGACATCCAGCTGACTACTCACAAATGAATTAGGCTGCTATCCGCAGTCAACCAGATAACACTTGTGAAGCAACTGCAGTGGCTTATAATTTTCAGATATAAATCTTTATTCTTTTAAGTTCCCAGTGGAATATAGGGCTCGCCTTCCTGGTTCGTTGTACTTTAATTAGCCCCTACCAATTAGGTTAAATGAGATTAAGCATTCAGAGGTAAGTGAAAAACAGTTTCGTGAATGAACAGAAAATTGATTAGTGGTTTAAATTTGACAAAAATTAAACAATTACAAATCTCAATGTTCAAATAATGTGCATAAGTTAGTCTGAAGCTTGACCATCCATGAGAAGCTGAAAACTTGATAAATAAAAAAAATCTAAGACTGTAGCATTAAATGACAGGTAGAAGAGGCTTTGGTGTTAAATAACTATCCTTTAAAATTCATTTTGAAGATCGAGAAAGGCCAAACGAAAAATAAAAATAATTGTGAAACTAGTAATAATAACATAAATAAGAGAGAATATAAGTCATCTACAGTTATACCATATAAAGAGGGGACATCTGAAACCCTACGTAGGATTCTAAATAAAGCAGGAATTCGCGTGGCATTTAAACCTACAAACTCACTCACTCGAGGACAAGCTCTGTAGCCTAAAAGACCCGGTGGACCCAATTAGACAAAATAATATAACTTACAAAATATTTTGCAATGAATGTGAGTTAAGTCAACTACATGGGTCAAACTAGTAGGTCAGGGGTAGTCAGATTGTCGGAACATAAGAATTTAGCTAAGGTAAGAATAGTTGACCTCGAGAAGATAAGTAATTTAGAAAAAAGCTCAACAGTGCATTGAAGTGCATGCATTAACACACAACCACACAACAGCATGGTGGGAGAGGGTTAAAATTCTAAGAAGTAATCTATGTAGGTGGAGAGCGAGACAGAGGTTGATTACTGAATCCTTGTTCATCGAGTCAACACCCAACACATGCAATAGGAATGATTCATCACCCGTACCGGAAATATGGAAAATACTACTGCCAGTCAAATCAAGTGGAAAACAATGGAACTATATAAATGAAGTTAGGAAGTCGTGTGATTACCTTGATATGATTATGAGCAATAAATTGTGCTCGAAACGTCATCAGTAAACATTACTGTATAACACTGTGAGACTTTATCAAAACAAAATTTACCCATAATGGAATTACCACAGTCCACAAGTTTTATTCTTATATCAATAAATCCTTACAAAACCAATAATTTATGTATAATTATTTGTCAATAATTTTTGTTTTTCAAAATTTATATTCCTAGACGTATTCTTACCAGTTCCATGCTGTAAAATGAACAGTACTTATCAATTATTGAATCCTCATTGTCCAATAGGCAATTTAACAAGTATTCATCAATATACTAAAGGATGTCGTCAGCCATTTTCAAGCACTTTTGTACGCTATGTAGTATACTTCGCCTATAGTTCTACCCTTGTCATCATACTTGGAGTAAGTGGTTTCAATATGATTTTTTCAAGCGAAGGGTGGATTTATGTGTACTTATTTGAATGTTAGTTAGCTCTCTATTCATTGAAAACTGAATAGAGCTATTCAACGTGCTTTGTGACCATTTTGTATAGAATGCTGTGTTATTATCATTTGTGGCTTGCTTGAACCATCGGTATACAATGTGTTGAATTTTACTGAGTGGTACTTTTTATGCATGAAACTATACACTACTCGTTGGTTGAGATGAGTAGTTGCACACAGCACTTATATCAACTACTAGTAGGGCCTACTGACCAACTAGACCGAAGTAATCTAAAAACACTGGATGGCCATTTCGCTCATCAGCGGTGTTCCCGATTTAAGTTAGACTAGAAGGATGAGTCATTTTAAACCACACCGGAAGTTTGCCTGGCTATCTGAGCAAACTCGTATAGCTTTAAATTAAACTCCCTTAGGAACCAGAATTGTTCAGATCATAGTATGTGATCCGCTTGATATCATGAATGGAAATGCGAAAAACTTTATACTACTGATTGAGTGAAATGAGTAATTTTCGATTGGACGCTAGTCAGTAACTAGTGTAATGTGTCTAGTCCTTTCTTTGTTGCGAACTGAATTCTGTTAGTCAAGTTTGCAATGCGGCCACCATGCTAGGTAAATTTCCATCGTGGTGCACTGTGTAGGCGATCGGCAGGAAGCCTCATCTGACCTAGTATTCGTGCTAGTTGGCCCTTAACAGAAAGGCGTATCTGCAACCTTGAAGGAACTCATGTCACTTTTGAGATTCGATCCTGTGTCACATAATGCTGCATTCAGAGAGTTTACCACTGAGTTGGCTATTTGGGCTCCCGATTGACCTCCTGTAGGACTTCATTATTATTGTATTCTTTAATTCCCAGAGGAACATAGGGCTTCAGCTGCGCATCTATATTGCCTTCTGTTTTCTGCCAACTTTTACACTCCGCTCCAAGTCTGCCCACACGCTTTCATCTCCACTTCACATGACCTCCTCCAAGTCACCCTCACATTGACGACCAACTCACCGCTTCCCTTTTGGGTTGCACTCGAGCAACGGCTTGTCTAGTGATGTCACTTGATGGTTTCCCCACAGTATGGCCAGTAACCGACCCCCATTTATTCCTGCCTATTTGTTGTACAATCGGTTCTTGGTTGGTTCGCTCCTAGAGATCCCTGTTGCTGGTCTTTTCTGGCTTTCTGCTCTTGAATGATATTGAGCGAAGACAGCTGTTAATGAAGGTCTGCAGTTTGTTTGAGATGCTCTTTATGACGCGCTGGCCAAGTCTCTGACCCGTATAGTAGCAATGATTTCACATTGAAGTTGAAAATCTGGATCTTGTTTTTGATACTGAGTGCTGTTGACCTCCACACAGACTTCAGAGTAATGAAAGCTTGTCTTACTTTCCCTATCTTGATTTGAGATAGTCGTCACGTCTACCTGTAGTTGAAACGATGTTTCCCAGGTGGGTAGGTAAGGCAGGTTGTTTCTTTCAGGTCCCTCCCATTCATGCTGGCTGATTGTTGTCTGTTGTTGATGTAGCTGCTGCTGTTGGCCCGGGAACTTCATCACCTCTGTTTTCTCTATGTTCACCTGAAGTCCTATCTTTGACGCTTCTTCTGCCAACTTGTTGCTCTTCACTTGCATATCTTCCAGTTTGTGTGAAATCAGACATGTAAGACATCGGCAAAGTCCAGATCCTCCAAGTATTTTGTGCGAGTCCATTTTATGCCTGTTTCCTCATTGCCCGGTGTCTGTCGCATTATCTAATCTACTGCAATCAGGAAGATCATTAGAGATAGTAGACGGCCTTGCCTCACTCCCGTCCTCACATCGAGGGCTTCCGTAAGTTTCCCGTTTTGGATTACTTGGCATGCAGCATTGTCGTATAACTGTTGAATGAGATGTATAATTGTCGGTGGCACCCCGTAGTAGCGAAGTAGTTTCCAAATGACCTCTCGATCGACGCTGTCTGTCGAAGGCCTTTTCAAAGTCGATGAAGTTGAGTGAGGTGGAGAGGTGACGTCCATTCCAAGCTTTGTTCAATGATGATCCGTAATGTGGCGATTTGATCAATACATGATTTTTTTCTCCTTAATCCAGCCTCTTCCGGTCGAAGTTTTTCATCTAGGTCTTGTTTGATTCTCTCCAGGATGATGCGGCTTAGTATTTTGCTTGGAATGGACAGAAGCATAATTCCACGCCAGTTTTTACATTGACTTAAGTCTCCTTTCTTTGGTAGTTTGAATAAGTATCCGTCCTTCCAATCCTTGGGTACTTTGCCTTCCTTCCACACCTTCTTCAACAAAGGCGTCATCAAGTCCGCCGTTGTCTCTGGGTCGATTTTCAATGCTTCTGCTGGGATTCCATCTGGTCCTGCTGCTTTCCCGGCTTTTAGCATCTTGATTGCATTCAGAACTTCTGATTTCGTCGGGGGGGGCGATGTTCACTGGTAGTTCTGCTTCCGTTGTTGGTATTGTTGAGCGCGTTGTAGTTGGCGGTAGATTTAGAAGTCTTTTGAAGTGTTTAGCGCAGTGTTTCCCTTGTTCCACTTCTTTGGTGATTTGCTTTCCATTGTCATCCTTGACTGGCTTAATTTGTGTCGAACTTTTGCCCGATAGGTGTCTAGTTGTTTGGTAGGGCATGGTGAGGTCCCCTTAGCCTGCAGCTTGTTCTGCTTTCCTTGACATGTCAGTATCAACTTGCTTTATTGATCGCTATTCATGGCATAAAGCAGATCAGACACTGTGTGTGACCTAAATACTTATTGATTGCAAAGGGAACCGTCATGAAATCTCACCTTTTCTAACTGTGTAAAACAAGTTGAAATCGCCAGTCAATTCGCGATTTACGAAGGGAAATACATGTCGGAAGCTTGAGAATTTTTTAGATGGACTGAAACAAATATTCTGCATCTCTCTTCTTACCACTATCAACCTAATATACACTGGATATATATGTAGCCTAGAGACCTGTGACATTCATCTGTTTTTGCGCACATATAAATTTTGAATTTTTTTCCGCACGAAAAATATTGTCCATGCACTCCAGTTTACTGAAACTAAATAGTGTTCAAGAGGGGAGAGTATATAAATAAAGAATATGCAACAGATAGCGTTTAACTACAAGAAGACAATTGATATACATCAAAGAGAATATTAATACATTAAGTGAGATAAACTTTCTGTTATGAAATAAAAAAATGTAAACTCAGACTACTTACTAGCGACAAGTAGTATAAAGTTGAACACAAGTGAAACAGTAACAAAAAATAGTTAAGAAGGGAATCAACAGGGACCGATTAACAAAAGTTGTGACGATGTGTTCATAAGCTTTATTGTTGTAGTGACTGAACAGCCACATGGGTTTGCCTGGTTACCTGAAAGTTCTGGATTCGATGAAGGGGACTATTTATTTATTTTTTTTTTATTTTATGGTTACAGCTTGATTCCACACTGTATTTTTGGTACAAGTGTGGAATTTTCAGCATGGATATCGGTAGCCCAAAATTCGCAGGCCAACCATTGATATCAGGTGTGCGTCGGCGTGGGCTCGAACCTCGGACCATGTGCATGGTCGGCGAGAGTCCTAACCACTGTGCCACCGACGCACGATATGATAAATATTGATGTCTCTGAGGATTTCAGATTTATACCTGAGTACCAGGATATTAAGAATTCCCTCCTTCCCTAAGATTTTAATATTTCCCAAATACTTGCTTCTTGGTAAAGCCAGCTCTGTGGATGATGTACGGAAAGGCAATGAAAGCTCCACAAAATTAAACTATCCAACTCAGATAACCACATCACACTAGTATCACTAGTCTGACCTACAAATATTTGGTATCATATTAATATATAAATATATAGTATATATAAACTGGTAATCTTCAAACTCCTTGATTTCGTCTACTTCTGCACTTTCAGGTTACCATGATCGCCTGCTGTGTACTCGTACTCAAGGAATTATGGACTGTAATATAGCCGTGTGACATCGATCAAAACTGATAGAGTAAAGAGTAGACTACTTGTGTGTGTATGTGGGTGCGTTGTTTAATTTCATGCTACACCTCACCATATTTTGTGTATGTGTAAGCATAGAAACAATCAATAATAAACCTGCAGCCTCTTACTGTATATGCCGTCAACATGTTCACTTGGAAACTGGGAGCATATTAGCGAAACGAACGAAGCCAGATCAACCAACCTATGTTTACACATACTTACTTAACATCACTGGTTTATTAATAATAATAATAATAATAATAATAATAATAATAATAATGATTTTAACTATTTCCAATTTGTCGGACGAAGATATAATTTTGCCGATTGTGTTTATTGAAAATTGTACGCATATTCAAAATGAAGTCGCTTAATAAAGATACTGGTTTGCAGAACTTCTGGTTTTCTCTAAAATATAGAATAAATTTTCTATAGTTTGGTTTGTGAGGATTAGTTATGTTTTTACGAGTTGATCACGAATTGATATCAGTTAGAGAACCATTGAAAACCAGGGAGTACTGGTCAGCAGCTGTTTCATCCTAGTTTGGGAATCATCGTCAGTACCCACCCATTGCCAGGGTTCGAACCCAGGGTCTTCCGGTTACAAGGCAAGCTGGCTCGTATACCATTCAGCCACTGGGACCCGATTCAATGGCCAGCTCATGAATTCTAACTTCTACGAATTCGGAATTTAGCGAAACCCCAACCACTGTCATTGGTGGGACATCCATCCACACACGTGACATCTAATTGGACCTCACTGGTCACAAGGAATTGGTGGAAGTTAGAATTCATGAGCCATTGAATCGGGTCCCAGTGGCTGAATGCACACAAAAGAAAATTATTCAACTACTTCTACTATCATGGTAACAACTCTGTTGATTTGACTAAACTTTTGCTTGTATACTTATTTTCTAATTACTTAAAACTTTTGCGTAGTTCCGTATGTTACTTTGTTTCCGTGTACACACTGAGTCCAA